TTTGTAAAATAAAATATCAAATGCAAAACAGAAATAAATAGGAAGAGAAATTTGAAATTGATATTAAATCCCAGTTTGCCATTGAAAGTTTCCATCGGGTCTGCCAGCAGCTGCAGATAAAACCAGGAGTTCTGTAAAGAGTGAGGAGAGTTGAGCATTCGGCATACTTCTCCAAAATTTGGCACTCACTCACCTTACGGCTTAGAGTCTTGGCAAATTGTGTGGCCACAGCTGATTCCAGTCCAGACTCGAGCCAATTCCAATGCATAAGCTCAATGCGAAAGAGATGCTCCCTCAGCTGCTGATTGAGAATTTGAATGCGCTTGTTGCAAATGGCGAGAATAAATATTTTTAGCAACGGCGCCACACAGCATTCAAATTCAATTAGGTGATTGATGGGCCGATGATAGATCATGTTGTACAGATTGTAGGCCAGGTATTGAGTATGCTTGAGCAAAATGAGAAACAGCACGCCAGGCACTCGCTGCCAGAGTTTCTTAACACTTTGATGGACGCTTTTGATTCGCAAGTAAAAGCTAAAGAACTGTATTACCTGACGGCGCGAGTGAGAGCTATGAATATGTTCTTGTCGAGGACTCAGATAATAAGTCTTTAAGGTATTGTGCAGAGCTCCCAGCCAAGCCAGCAGCAGCAGCTGATAGACGAAGTAGGCACAGAAGAAGATCTCGAAGAGGAGTGTGATGTATGTCTCACAAAAATATTGATCCCAAATATTTCGCAATTGCAGTGTGGTTAGAACATATTGCAGATGAAAGAGCAGTAGTATATCAAGTTTCGTCCTTAAGCTCCAGCTGTCAAAGCCCAAATGCAAAGCTTTATTCAGTTTGATTATATCATTGATCGTTAGCTGGCAGTCAGCACTGTACTTCCGATTATGTGCTAGACGAAACAGATGCAGCAGCATCCAGTTATTCATCAGCCACGTCGAAAAGAACAAATAATTATCGAAATCCTCACGCTTTGCTTCCAATGGCGAACTAGCCGCAAGGACAAAACAAAAGCAATAGCCCAGCACATTATAATTATCGATGCAAATCAAAAAGACCTTAATAAGCCATTCAAGACTTCTATGTGTACTTTCCGAGCACAGTTTTTCTTTTTGCGAATCGTACTTAAAGTAGCCGAGCCCAGCGAGACGACAACTTAAATAAAGTGAATTGCTCAAAACTTGAATGCTTGCTTCGTTCAGATACCGTTCCAAACGTTCCATCGGGGCCAACTTATTTTGATGGAGTGAGCCCAAGATCAACCTTCAGCTGTACTGAAATGTCCCGAGTGAGAGAAATGTTGACAATAATAGGCAACATAATTTCGATAATTATGCCTAATGATATGTTCCATTATGGTATTGGGTCAAGTTATTGTACTATATTTTTGCTTGAACTTTGAACTTTGAACTTTTTTATAGAAGGCCGGAAAAATATGTGTGGTATGTGTTTTATTTATCGCGGCGATAGACATATCTGTTATTCTTTTCTTATGTTTAGAATGATCTCGTATGATAGAAATATTAGAGACTTTTAGTCTGTATATAGTATATATTAGTATTTTAGTTTTATAAATATTATTATTGTAATAAATTTGTACATTTATATTGACATATTTGAAATATTTTTTAAACAATTTCATACTGTTCAGATTTGCATATGCTTATCGTATTCCTATTTGTCCTTAAAGTTCTTAAAAGATTAATAAAAGTAATTCAATGCTCTATTGTTTGTTAGAGCGTATTGTAGATTGGACATTGCATTTAGGAAAGCTATCCACATAAACAGCAAAAGAAATTCAATATTAATAGATTGTCCCTTGTGCCATATGTGATTTCTGATCGGACTGGTGTGTTGCTGAAGGCAGAAGCAGTTAAACTGCATGCGAGATAAAATGTTAACTGATCTGATTGAACAATTATATATTGTCTTACCTGAGAGTCCAGCACATTCGTAAGTGGATTTTTCAGACCCAGTTCAAGATTTGTATTAGATCTAGTCCAGTGAGTCAGTTCGATTAAATAAATTTGTTCACTCAGGTGTTTGGTTAGATGCTCAATACTATTAGTACATAGGCCCAACAGGAAAACTCTTAGTAACGGAGCTACGCAATTCCCCATTTTCCATGCAAGAAAGAATTTCCACTTCTCCGCAGTGCTCTTTTCTTGGTAGATAAGGTCATAAAACTCTTCGGAAATATCAGCGGATAACATGGTAATACAACCGAAGAGGGCTCCCGATATGCTTATCCAGAGTTGTATAACCTCGCCGTGCACTTCACATATACGAAAATACATTCTATAAATGTGAATTAGTCGTTTACGATTTCGCTTTCTACTAGTTAAAGTTTTAATGGTACTAAGCAATACCCGATGCCAGGCTATAAGGACCAACTGGTATAGAAAGTACGACCAGTAAATTATCTCGAATAATATTATTTGGTATTTGAACACAAGTAAGCGGCGGTGTCTCATTATCTGATTCCCCAATTGAATAATAGTGAAGAAAAATTCGAAAAAAGATATCAAAAGTATATGATATTCAATTGTGAAATATGAATATCTGAAGGATGATATCATAGTCTTATGTATTTCCAATAACTTGTTGATTACAGCAACACACGATTCATTATTTTTCCAGCTATGAAGGAAGATAATTATTTTTAGAAATTGCCAATTAACATTGGTATAAATTAAGCATTCTAGGTAAAAATTATATCCGGCAGCAAATAGAGAGCAGTCCCGCAGAGAATGAGCTTCGATTCTATAAATCACATAACTATAATTGAGATAATCAAAAAGTAGCAGAATTATTTTAACAACCAAGGTAAAGTATTTTATAAAGTTATTATGTTGGCATATAAACAATTTGTTTGTATTCGCATTGTACTTAAAGTATCCAAATGTACAGAAGCGGCAGATGCGATATAAAACGAAAGTCAATAAATTAACTGTCTTGTGGAATAATAACTCTATTCTGTACACTCGCCGCTCCTCAAGGTGTCTTTCATTTAACTGAACTGACATATTTTGTTGAAGTTGAGACGGATAACGTTTCTGTTCAATCTTGAAATATGTTATAATAGACTATGATGTTATCCAGACGCCGAGTTCAATGCTTCACAACGAGCTCAAGTGTACTAATTTCATAATGAAACCAACTACTTTAACTGGTTGGTATTTCATTCCAGTTCTAATGAACTAATTCGATGTGAAAGTGGTATGATGGAAAACGTTAACAGTAATAGGCTACAACTTTTCTGAATTATGCCTAATGAAATGTCAATTTGGATTGTGGGTCAAATTCTTTATTGATTTCACAAATACCACATGACTATTTTGGCGGAACAGCAACTATATTCTTCTATTCTACGAGAGTTATTTAATAACAGAAAATTGTTTTTTTTTTTTTTTTTTTTCAATAACATTTATTCGATACTCTTAGAGTTGGAAAATATGTTTTTGAGATAGTAAAAATAATGCTTAATCAAGTCTATAAAATATAAAGAGTGGTCTTACAAAAACTTGTATATTAAATGAATCATACTTTTGTGATTGCAAATCTTAATCTGATAGAATGAGAGCTCCTTTTTATTTTCAGATTATTATTATTATAATATAATGATATGTATATATACATTTTCCTACACTAATAATTTGAATTACAAATTGAAAACTTTCAGAGTTTCAAAGGGCTTTACTATATCAATAAAAGGAATTCATAGGCATTTTCTCTGTAAAAGCATACTGTAAATTTGACATTGCATTTAGGAAAACGATCCATATAAATAGTAAAAAAAATGCAATATTAATAGATTGCCCCTTGTGCCATATGTGATTTCTGATCGGACTTGTATGTTGCTGAAGGCAAAAGCAATAGAACTGGAAATGAGATGAATTGTTAACTGATCTGAATATTGTAAATAATACTATACCCGACAATCCAGCAGTTCCATGCACGAATTTTCTTCATGTCCATTACACGATCTCGACGCGTTAATCAGTTCAAATATATATATATGTTCACACAGAAGTCTGGTAAGATTCTCTATACGAACAGTACATAGACCCAATAGAAAAACTTTTAGAAATGGAGCTATGCAGTTCCCAACTTTTAAAACAATGAAAAATTTCCATTTCTCCGCAGTGCTCTTTTCTTGGTAGATAACGTCATATAGCTCCTCCGAAATATCTGCGGATAACATGGTTATAGAACCCAAAAGAACTTCCGATATGCTTAACCAGAGTTGTGTAACCTCGCCGTGCACTTCACATATGCGAAAATACACTTTATATATGTAAATTAGTCGTTTACGATCTCGGATTCTATTTTTACAAGTTTTTTGGGCATTAAGTAACACCCGATGCCAGGCTATTAGGATCAACTGGTATAGAAAGTATGCCCAATAAAACAGCTCGAATAATATTATTCGGTATTTGAAGACAAGCATATAGTTAAGCCTCATGATTTGATTCCACAGTTGAACAATAGTGAATATAAATTCGAAAAAAGATATCAAAAGTAGATTATGTTCAATAGTAAAATATGAATAGCTAAAAGATGATATCATAGTCTTATGTATTTCCAGCACCTTGTTAATCACAGCAACGCAGGAGATGCTACTTTTCCAGCTATGTAGAAAAATCAGGAGCTTTACAAACTGCCAATTTACACTGGTGTATATTAAGATTTCTACATAAAAATTATATCCACTGCGATTAATCGACGTGTTATAAAAGTAATTAGTAAAAAATGTAAATATAATATAAGCATAATTAATATAGTCCAGAAGTATAAGAAATATTTTGACAATCCAGGTGAAGTATTTTGCAAAAGCCCCATATGGACATATAAATAATTTTTTTGTATCCGTGTTGTACTTAAAGTGTCCGAATACACAGAAACGGCAGATGTGATATAGGACGCGACTTAAGATGTTAACTGTCCTGTGGAAAAATAATTCTTTCCTATACTTTTGCTGGTCCTCTCGATGTTTTCCATTTAACTGAACTGTCATTGTATGTATGCTTGAAGGCGGACAACGTTATCCTCAAACCTAGAATGCTCTTGTCGAATATGAAAAGCAACTAACTTCAGTGGGTAGAGTTTCACTTTCAGTACCAGCTTATGATAAAATTTTGTGGAAGAGAAAATGTTCCAATTCCACATTGACAAATGTTAACTTACAGCATAAGTGCTCTCATTACATTTCATACTGTGTTGGATAAGTGTTGTAGTATTGGTATAATAATAATAAAATGAATTCATAAGAAGAAAATCGATTTGCTATTAATGACTTTCGCGTTTAATTAATGGTTAACTTATGGCTAGTTAATTACGCATTTTCCTTTTGGTCTTTTATATATATATATTTTTTTTTACAATTTTCATATGTATACATTATATTATTTAGTGGTAGTAAAGCAATTGCACTTTGACCGGTTAACAGTGTTATACAAAACAAAAGGAAGAATTAACATATATATATATATATATGTATATTGTATATATATGTCGGGTACAACTGTTTTTCCAAAAAAAGCGAAAAAGGACATAAAAGGCCATGATATTAAATTGTCTCATGTATTTCAAATAACTTGTTAATCACAGCAATATAGGTTTCGTTATTTTTCCAGCTATGAAGGAAGATAATTACTTTTAGAAACTGCCAATTCACATTGGAATTAAGACTAAGATTAAGAATTCTAGACTAAAAAATCTATTTCCGGTAGCCAATAGTGAGCAATCCCGCAGTTGAGCTTCGATTCTTGCTAATTATTAATGTAAAATTATTATGATACACATAAATTTTCTTACACTAATCATTTAAATTACAAATACATTTAAAATTTTCAGGGTCTCTAAGGTTTTCAGTATCTCAATATAAGGTATTCATAGCCATTTGCTCTGTTAAAGTATACTGTAGATTTGACATTGCATTTAGGAAAGCTATCCATATAAATAGTAAAAGAAATTCAATATTAATAGATTGCCCCTTGTGCCATATGTGATTTCTGATCGGACTGATGTGTTGCTGAAGACAAAGGCAATAGAACTGAAAATGAGATGAATCGTTAACTGATCTGAATAATGTAAATAATACTATACCTGACAATCCAGCAGTTCCATGTATGAATTTTCTCCAAGACCATTATACGATCTCGGTGCGTTGATCAGTTCAATTATATAAATATGGTCACACAGAAGTCTGGTAAGGTTCTCTATACGAACAGTACATAGGCCTAATAGAAAAACTTTTAGAAATGGAGCTATGCAGTTCCCAACTTTAAAAACAATGAAAAATTTCCATTTTTCCTCAGTGCTCTTTTCTTGGTAGATAACGTCATATAGCTCCTCCGAAATATCTGCGGATAACATGGTTATAGAACCCAAAAGAACTTCCGATATGCTTAACCAGAGTTGTGTAACCTCGCCGTGCACTTCACATATGCGAAAATACACTTTATATATGTAAATTAGTCGTTTACGATCTCGGATTCTATTTTTACAAGTTTTTTGGGCATTAAGTAACACCCGATGCCAGGCTATTAGGATCAACTGGTATAGAAAGTATGCCCAGTAGATCAGCTCGAATAATATTATTCGGTATTTGAAAACAAGCATATAGGTATGCTCCATTATTTGATTCCACAGTTGAACAATAGTGAATACAAATTCGAAAAAAGATATCAAAAGTAGATTATGCTCAATCGTAAAATATGAATAGCTAAAATATGATATCATAGTCTCATGTATTTCCAGCACCTTGTTAATCACAGCAACGCAGGAGATGCTACTTTTCCAGCTATGTAGAAA